TAATATAACAATGACAATGTAAAAGAACTTTAAGAGATTATACCCATATATTGTTGCTGTAATGTCAGAGGTCACAGAAAAGGGGTTTTTTAAAAAGAAAAATAATAATACAGAAGGACTTAAAGAGATAGCACCCGTAGGCATAGAAATAGCATAACAAAAGTTTCATAATGCCCTAAACACCAGCAATTAGACAAAACAATAGCAGAAGAAATGCTTTGCAATACCCATTCATACAGCTTGCCAATCAATTTCTTGATTTAATACATGTGGTGTTAAACTATTCAAAGCATAAATCCAGAAGGTCTCCCTGGCCTTCAGATGCAGTGTCAATTGCAGATTGCTAGCCTGGACTTTTCCCAAGAGAAAGAAGCGAAGGTCTCTGTCACTATGCACAAAAGTTGTAAAATGTTCGACCATTGGAGCATTCTTCCTGCAAAGGCAAATACAACTCCTGTGTTCTCCAGTTCTGATCTTTACAGGTCTAGGTGTACACCTGACATAGGTTAAGTCACAGCCACATTTTACCGCATAAATTAGACTTTGTATTACAATTGAAGAAACCTTTTATAGAGTACCTTTTTTGTTTAGAGGAGCCATAACAGAAATCTGTTCGTAATAATAACTCACACATAGAACATCCTCCACAAGGATAATTTCCAACCGGTCTGGCCTTGCCATCCATTCCCCTCTGTATAACTGTAGGAGATTTTAAATTACTCCTGACAAGTATGTCTTTCAGGTTTTTTGATCTGCGGTAAGAAAAAAAAGGGGGTGGGGACCACATCTAGGGATGTTAGATAAGAGGAGACAGTGTTTTCTAATAATATCCCTCACTTGAGCAGATCTCCCATCATACATCACTGGAATAATCATTCTATCGGTTTCAGTACGTCTGTTTTTGGGGACCATAAGGGAGGATCTGTTAGTATTATTTGCTTTATGAAAAGCCTGTTGTAGAATTCTGGAGGAGTATCCCCTATCTCTAAACTGACTCATAAGCAGTCTGCCTTGCTTGACAAAGTCAGTGTACTGACTACGATTTCTTCTGATGTGCAACATCTGGGGAAAGGGTAAATTCTTTTTCAAATGCTGTGGATGAAAGCTGTCATTTACAAGAAAAGAATTGGCGTCTGTAGGTTTTCTATAGGTATCTGTCTCAATCCTGCCCCCCACCTGCTTGAACATCTAGAAAATCTTTTTGCTGTCATATTTCAACTCAAATTTGATAGTATCATGAATACTGTTAACAAATTGCTTAAATGCCAATAGGAGTTGCACTGGGCCCTTCCAAATCAAGAAGATATCATCCAAAAAACATTTAAAGACAATGATGTTCTCAAGGTAAATGTTCAGGATGAATTGGTTCTCAAATCTACTCATAAATAAGTTGGCCAGCTCAGGTGCAAATTTACATCCCATGGCTGTTCCGGAAACCTGCCAAAAAATTAATTCTGGAATTGGAAGTAATTTCTTTTTAAACAAAGTTCAGCCAATTGGCATAAAAGGTGGGGGGTTATTATTGTTCTCTCTTCTCTAACGTTTCCTGAATTACTTCCAATGCTTCCTCATGTGGTATATTTGTGTACAATGATACCACATCCATAGTGACAAATAATGTATCCTCAGCTTCTATCCATGTCTGATTCATATGTCCTAAAAAGTCCATGGTATCCTTTAGATATGTATTAGGGCATTATGAAACTTATGTTATGCTATTTCTATGCCTATGGGTACTATCTCTTTAAGTCCTTCTGTAGTATTATTTTTTTAAAAACCCTTTTCTGTGACCTCTGACATTATAGCAACAGTGTATGGGTATCATCTCTTAAAGTTCTTTTGCATTGTCATTGTTATATTCTCCTATGGGCACTATCCCTTTAATTTTTTTTGTACTGTCATACCTAAAAAAAAATCCCCCCCTCTTTTCTGTGACCTCTGACATTACAGCAACAGGATGTGAGTGTTATATCCTTAAGTCTTTTTGCATTGTCATTGCTATATTAGCATTGCAACATATGGGCACTATCTTTTTGAGGTTTTGTTTGCAATGTCATACCCCTCCAAAAATTCCCCCCCTCTTTGTGTCCTCTGACACTACATCAGCATTGCATCATCCTCTATTATACTATTTAAGTTCATGATATCTGTCTGTCTTCACTGCTACATATTGATGGCGCATTGTTCCTGACAAGGCAACTCTATTTGTACTCTGAGGACCTAAACTGGAAGGTATTTTTCTCTTTATTTAATTTCTCATATTTTTATTTAATAGATTTTGTTATTGGTTCTGTTTTGGAATTTATCTTTATCCTTATTTCCAGGTACATATTATTTCCAGTTCATACAATAACTTCTGACACAAGGCCAGATATATTTGTCATTCAATTCCATATTGGAAGTAAGTATATTTGGGTAAAGTAAAATGTTTTTTAATATTGGGTGGAATTTTCAATTGAATGATTAAATATTAATCTGAAACAATTTTCATCTTTCTGTACAGCATTCCAATTTTGGTCCTATTTTATTTATTTATTGTTAATTGCCTTACATGTGTTACAGGGACTCTGTCGCTTGTTATATTTTGCACTATTTGACCTCTGAAGAAGGCTGTTCTGAGCCGAAACGCGTCAGGTCATGTGCTGTTCTTTTTTGTGTGTGTTTGTAACTTTGTACATTTTCTGAGGCTTTATTTGGGCCCCTACTAGGTTTTTATATGTCTTGGTAATAAACACTCTTTTGTACACTTATTTATGTTTTTAACTTTTGGCCCTCAATTACTTTAAACTTCCTTTGGGGGTTTGTGCTTTTTTGGTTTAGATTTCCCCATCTTTTTTTTGGGGGGTTGGGAAACTGACTTGAACCAGCAGTTGTGGCAAAACATGTGCAACGATTAAATGCACATTTGCATTTTATTACTTGTCCCCTGGAGACCATAATATGATCAGGAATTCAATGGTTTTGCTTTTTAGAAACTATAAAATAGCAGTATAAAGAAAACTTAACCTATAATTAGCTTGGTCTGTTGAATTTCTACCTGCTGCACAGACATTTAAAACCTAGAAATTGGGGGTGGGGGGAGAGTGTGGTACAGTGGTGCTTAGCATGTCAGACTAGGATGGGGTGAATCCTGGTTAGGATTGCCAATTGCCTGGAGAAAAAAGGTCCCTTTTATAGAGGCTTGATAGAATCCCACCTCTGCTTCTCCCTTGCCTTGAGAGCCTCTTTCTGGAATCATCGTAGGTTGGGTGTGACTTGACAGCACTTGATACACACACCTATGGATGGGATGAATGCACTGGGGAGGGAGGCTGACAATTTGTTACCAAGTGTCCAGTATTTTTGTTGAAACCATCTGGTGACCCTAACTGCCATGCTTTACCCCTGGATCTCAGCTCAGAGTTGAATGGCATCCAAAGAGGTATCTTTGGGTATTTTCAGCCTTTGGGGGGAGGACTTACCAGGAGCAGGGGGGAGGCTTGGCTGATGTGCAGTGATGTGCTGAAGTCACTACCCATAGGACCCTGAAGTGATAGCATCACTTCTGGGACATTGGGGGTGATGCTCTAGTATTTGGACAAAAACTCTATGGTAGAAGTCAAAGCTACCATATAGTTTTTGGCCATTTACCAGAGTGTTGCCCTGACGTCCCGGAGGTCATGCTGTTACTTCCTGGGTTTTGTGGGTAGTGATGTAGGCATGTTGCTGCATCTTAGCAGAGTCTCCATCTTTTTCAGGATAAGCTCCTCTTGCTGGCCAGCTGATTGGCAACTAGGCAGTGGGGTCTGTCAGTGGGGAACACACACACCCCTGCCTGTACCAGAGGGTCTGGGAACCCTAGGCTAGTCCAGGTCAGAGATGGGATGGGATTCCCTCTATCCTGTGCTTTTAAGCTAAATAATCCTAAGCATGCTGAGGCTTCTCATGATGGGGAAATTCCTGGGGATTTAGGGGTGGAGCCTAGGAAGGGCAGGGTTTGGGGCAAGAAGGGATCTCAACAGGGTAGAATGCCATAGAGTCCACTCTCCAAAGCAGACATGTTCTGCTAGGGAAATGATCACTGTAGCCTAATTCCTGGTCATATCACGCCCCATCTGGAAGTTGTCAAACCTAGAGCTTCCAGTCAGAATAGCTCAGTAGGCGGAGCCTGACACAAAATGGTAGCTAGCTTCTATGAAGACATAGATCTCAACTCATACCTTGGCACAGAGGCCATGCTACACAAAGGTCTGGTCATATCTTTAACTTTTGTTGTTTTAAAAGCAGTTTGTTTTAAATGGCATCACCCATCAATTTTCCTTTCCCAAAGTAAGTTGGTGTGTCTTACAGAAACATTAAAGCAGAAGCACCGTATTGCATTTGCAAGTCTGGTGTCATGGTGGTATAATTATTGACAGCCAGTTTCAGACGTGAATTCAGTTGTCCAGCTGTAAGGTTAGAATAATACTCAGACTTTATGGTTTTCATTGTAGAAAATTCAGATTCACAAAGGTGCTCAGGAGAAAGGTGGGTGTATAAATATTTTAAATACATTTTAAAAATAGAACGAAAATGTGCAGAGCATTTGTTCTGAGTCCTAGGTATTTTGCTTTATCAATTAAGTTGAATTATTATTAGCAGAAATCCTAGATTTTTATTGCACAGTAGTAATGCACACCATTGAAAACAAGGATTTGACCTTTGATGCAATTGTCTCCATATTAGTGTCTTCAGAGGACTTTCTCATGAATGTGACCACTTGTTCAAGCCTTGTAAAATCTTGAAAACACCTCTGAAGTTCAGGGGCAATGCTTCATAACTGTTCAGTGTATCTTTTAAATTGTGTGGGGGAGTTATTTTTGAGGGCAAAAAGAATGCATCAGCAAGCAAATTTTCTTCAGGCAAGGGGGGGGGACACACCACTTTCCCCCAAGAATCCTAAGTTTATGAAACACTACACTGGAGATTTGTTGACTTTCTGATCAGTTTATAACATTGGATATTGCTTTATAATTACTCAGATTTTGAAAGATGGTGCAGACAACATTTTGGGCTCTGAAGAAGCATTTTGAAGGCTTCCCTAAACTAAGTGATTTTGAGCTCAAAGAGGCAGAATTACCAGCACTGAACAATGGAGGTAAGAGAAGCATAAGTCTTATTCCGATGCTATCTTTGTACTGCATGATTGTAATAATAAAACTGAGAGGCAAATCAGACTATCTGTGTTCCACTCTTAAAGAAAATCACTCTGTGCAGGTCATTTGTTAGGGGAAAGGCCCTGGCTGATATTTTCCCCCCATTGATTTCCCCCCAAGTAACACTACCTGCTGAAAAAGCACATCTGATGAAACAGTGGTCGGACCACCAGGCCCTGAAGGCACGTCTGAATGTTCCACCCCAACCCTGTTTAGGCGGCGAGCGCAGGGGTCATTTCGTAGAAAAAGAGCTAGGGGAACTCATTAGCATAACTCATTAGCATATGCCACACCCCCTGGCATCACCGGAAGTGTGTCATAAGGCCACAGCCCCTGGCATCACCGGAAGTGTGTCATAAGGCCACACACCCCGCCCCCAACGGTCCCGGCCGCCGCGTCTGAATATGCAATAGAGAAGAAGTGCCAGACTGCAGCTGTTGCACAAGCAATGTGAGGGGCTCTGAGTCTTTGCAGAGTGACTCCCAGGGAAGGGAGGACCTGATCATAAACACCCCCATTCACCTGCCTGGGCATGGAATCAACAGTGCATGCTCAGACCTCATCCTGGCCGTCAGCCTCCGCTCCTCGCTCCTGAAACCTCTGGCTGATTTCCCGGCTTCCTGACCTTCAGCTCTGTTTCTCAGCCTGCTTTTGGACTGTGTATCCAGTTTTCAGTGAAGGGTATCGGTGGCAACCGGCTGGACCCAGCACACCTATGTTAGTAAATCAAATTTAGGCTGACCTCTCTAGTGGTTCTGTAAGGCAGGGGTCCCCAACATGGTGACTTTGAGCTCCAAGGCACCCATTGATACCTTTTTAGAAAGTGGGCAGGGCCAGTTGAGTCTTTTGCCCAGCAAGGTTTCTTTTTTTCTTTTCTTTTTTGGCCCCCTGAATGGGATTTTTTAAATTGCTTTTCTAATAACTACAAACAGAAAATTAGGAAAGGGAAACTACAGCCTATGGGAGAAAGTAAAGAAGACCCTCTAAAAACCCAAGAGATGGTGATCATACAAACATTTGCAAAATTACCTTTAAGCTTAAACACAAGTTAACTTTCATCGAAAATGATCGTCTATCTGCTTAAATGTTTAAATGATCATCAACAATTCTAGTTTCATAAAAAGACTGTAAAAAGAAATGCAATATACGTATTTTTGATACTCCAGAGTACATTAACAATCTATTTCCCCCCCCTTTCTATGTCTCAACTGATAGCTTTGTTTGGGGACAGCAGCCCCCAGTTTAGAGTCAGAATCTTCCTCAGAAGACCCAGCCTCTCCTTTACTTTCTTTGGCAGCATCGGTCGCACCTTCTCCTGCTGGACTGCTATGTTGATGTAAAAACTCGCAAGCCTTTTCAACAGAGTCAACCCTTTCTTTACCATTTGGACTCCACCCCAGATGACCTTCACCGGGCATTACAGGCTGTGGCTGGTTGGCTCAGACTGAGTCGGCTGAAACAAAACCCGGCAAAGACGGAGGTCCTGGGTCTGAGTCGGGGCGGTCTGGGGTTGGGGCTCCCTCTCCCGACCTTCGATGGGGCGCCTTTGGTGCCAGTGTCGGAGGTTAGGAGTTTGGGTGAGCTCCTGGACTCCTCTTTAACGATATTGCCTCCTCCCCAACTCAATAATCCAAAGGCAAAATCCAGCCTAATGGGACCCATTTGTACTGAGGGCATAAACATGACATGTATTCTAAACTTGACTTACAACATGCTTGCACAAAAAGAGAGCTGCCACTGATCTGTAGCATTACTTTGTTCGTGTTGTATGGATGCCAGATATATATATTGGTGAAATTAACACAACTTTCTCAATCAATAGTTTATTATGATCCAAGTTCAGAAGTCGTCATCATCAACAAAACATGCATCATGGATGTTCTGAACAAAAATGTACATATGCTAGAATAAAATGTGTTAAGTCGGTATTCTTCTGCCTGATGAGGCATGCCAAGGCACAAAATTTATCTACCTTAAGGGGAGTTTCAGTACAGCGATCAGCTTGACTTACAACATGCTTGCCCAAAAAGAGAGCTGCCACTGATCTGTAGCATTACTTTGTTCGTGTTGTATGGATGCCAGATATATATATTGGTGAAATTAACACAACTTTCTCAATCAATAGTTTATTATGATCCAAGTTCAGGGATGTTCTGATCAAAAATGTACATATGCTAGAATAAAAATGTGTTAAGCCTGTATTCTTCTGCCTGATGAGGCATGCCAAGGCACAAAATTTATCTACCTTAAGGGTAGTTTCAGTACAGCGATCAACAAGGAGAAGTATAAAATTGATTGGCTCTACCTGGATACTTGGATATAATTGTAGTAAGGTACATATTCCAAATGTTCTGGTAAAACTGTCAATATAAGAGGACATGCTCAATTGTTTCTACCATTCCAGCTTGGCATGGGGACTTTCTCATGGAATGTTGTTTTGAGAAAATTGACTGAACGGGTGAGATAAGATCACATCAGTTGTATGAGTCATTTAGGTGCACGATGCTTGTTTATTCATGCCCTGCTTTCATACACTTCTGGATCATGGAATTTCAAGAAGTAACATATGAACCCCAAAAGAGCTTGGGAATATGTCAATCAAATTGGTAATTCTGTTGTAGCTACAAACTGAGTGTGGTTGGATTGCCTGCCCATGTAGTAGGTGTGCCCCTAACAGTGCCAGATCTCATCCAGAAGCTACAATTACCAAAAGAAATTATGTACTTAAGTGCTGTTATCTGCAACCAACTTACGGCAACCCCAGCAGGAGGGTTTCAAGGCAAGTGAGAAACAGAGGTCGTTTGCCATTTCCTTCCCCTGCGTATCATGGGTCTTCCTTGGTGGCCTCTCATTCCAAAACCGACCCTGTTGAGCTTCTGAGATCTGATGAAATCCAGCTATACTATGCCACCTTTCCTCCCAGCATAAGGAATTGCTCCTCAAAATAAACCATTTGGCGTAAGTAAAAGGGATATGTGCTTAGATTTAAGATTTTATTTGTATAGAAATAATCGTGTGGGCTTGCAGTAGAGAGAGATGCTTATAAGCATAATCCCAGTAAGGCTGGTTCTGATGTCGTCAACAGTTTAAAAGCTGACTTGGTTTTTGCCTTCCCAACAAGAAGGCAGTCCAGTAGATTTCTTGCTGCAGTATATTTCACTTTTTGGCCAACTGAATTATAGCCATTGTTGGTGTGTAGTCCTTTTAAAAATGCAAGTGCTGCCTTTTCAGCTTTGAGTATCTGAGTTCTAAGATAGGTTTAAATCATAGATCCCTAACTTTGGCTGCAATCACACACACTAAACAATCCGCTTTCAATCCACTTTTGAATTGAATTTTGCCAGTTCACACAGGAAAAATCCAGTTGGAAAGTGCATTGAAGTGGATTATTTAGTGCGTGTGATCGCAGCCATTGCTGAGCCTGTGGCCTCATCTGGAATTCTGAGAGTGGGTGTCACAACAAAATGGCTGTCGTTGTGGGCCAAAGCTGTGATCTGGGAGATCTCTGATTCAAACCTTGTATCTGCCACTAGGTTGCTTGAGGCAAACAGAAACCCTAGGAATATGGGGATAATAATAACCTATTTTATTTTACAAGGCTGTTGCTGCTTGTTGGCCAGAATCTTACAACCTCAATCTGTTACCAGGATTGGAAGAAAAGTCTGAATGAAGTCGTTTAGCAAAATGGTCTACATGGCTCTGTTGTGTGAGATGAACCACAACAGTAGGCAATGACAGTAATCTAGCAACTCTTAGAGCCTAAAGTTTGGGAGACTTGCCATTTATAGACAAACACACGTACACAGCCTCTGGAAGCAGGCATCCATGTATTCCCTGAATTGAGTCATGCACTAAATCACATGATGTGGTGATGTGCGCCATTGGAGATGGGGCCGGTTTGCTGGGTGGGTCAGAAGGTACGCAGCATTCCTTCTGCTTGCCACTAGGTGTAGCGCTGTGACATGGTGCATTACTTCATTTTGAATTGGTCTAATGGGTCATCCTCTCCATTTCAGATGTGCTGCTCGAATCTGTGTTCCTCAGTGTTGACCCCTACATGAGGTATAATGTTAAGGAAATGTATTTGAATGGTAATTCTAAAAGCACCGTTAATCGTATCCCTCCAGTTAACTCTTTGCTTATGTAACACACCCATGCTGGAGTTGCAGTACGTTGGCTGTTGTAGTTTCGTGTGGGAGTAGTGTCGTCACAAGTTTTGGTGGGGAGGGTGGGGTATAAATCGAATAAATAAATAAATATAAATAAATAAAAGTTTTATAATCCCAGCAGTTCTGCCATAGTTAATGAGTCTGTTGTACCTTCGTGAGATACAATCAGCTAGCCGGGGATAAGGAGATTCATAATTATGTTTCTAGTATACTGTATAGAGGCATACTTTTTTAAAATTGTGGTTAGAAGCAATGTTCCCTCTAAGATGTGGAGTCTTGTGAGCAAAAAAATCTACTTGGTGAGTTCCTGGCATTAAAGTTGTGAGCAAGCCATTTGGCTACTGCATACATTAGTTTGCTCTGGAGCCATCCTTCCTGAGCTAAGACAAAAATGTGTGAGCCAGAGGCTAAAAAACTGTGAGCTAGCTCACACTAACTCAGCTTAGAGGGAACACTGGTTAGAAGGCATAGATTCACCCATAAGTACAGTGTATTCTACTGCCTGCTACATGGCTCTTAATAGCAGCCAGCCTGCAGTGTTTTAACAGGTTATACTATTTACTCTCGTGTCAAGAAAAGTTTAATGATTCCTGCACAATCAGTCTATTATCAGTCAGAAGTAAGATGGGCTGTATTTTTGTTTTTTAATTGGCAGTAAGTATTATATCATTATCATCATTATTATCCTTTTTTTTGTTTTGTTTTTTTAATTGGCAGTAAGTATTATTATATCATTATCATCATTATTATCCTTGGTCTCGGCCTAAAGGCCACTGTAATTAACCTTGACAAGAACAAAATACCCCCATCTAAAGAGACATTGTCAAATTTTGTCCTTTATTGTTCTTCGCAGACCCTACAGCAAGTTAAGGATGAAGGAAGGGGATGTGATGATAGGAAGCCAAGTGGCAAGGTAAGACTTGGTTGTGTGCAACTCCCAAGATGTGCACCTTCACTTCCTTCCGTCACAAACTAGGGTTTCACATTTGACACAAAAAATCACTTGATAAGCTTTCTTGGTCAAGCGTTTAAAGAACCTTCTACTGAAACTCTAGCAACAGTTATCATGTTATTATGCTAACAGCAAGCACACACACCTCATTTCATTGCCTGTGTTAAAGTAACATGTATTCCATTGGGACTTAAGGGATGTATACGAAATTCTTCTCTTCCAAATTTCTCTCTGAATTTTGAAGTTTAGAATTACTTGCTGCAGTTTCCAAAGTGAAAATAACATACTAAAAATTCACAGGTGTTCCTTTTATAAAAGATAATTTTCTGCAGAGCGTTGTGCATGCACAGTTTGCCACAGCGTTCAGCTCCAAGTTGTGCCTCAAGAAGGTACGCTGCCATTCCGGAAGCAAGCCAAAGTTTACTAGTCAGGCTTGAAATGATGAACAAAAACTATTATTAATACTTATACATTTTCCTTAGACTCATATGCATGAAAAAACTCAGAAGATAGCACCATTTTCATAAGAATGATCACAAAATGTTTAAACAAGAATTATCTCTCAAACTTAAAAAACATAAATTATCAGTGTCTTTGGTTGTGAAGTCCAACTTAAGGATTTGCTTGTTGATGTTGAATCCTGTGTTTACTTGGCTAGGACGTGTTTCGGGGTGTATCCCTTCCTTTGCCAGCCTTGTAAAACTTTAGAACTTGCATTATATCCCAGAAAGTGCCTCCAACCTGATGCTCGCAGCTGTGGAGGTGGGACGGCTTCCTTTTTTTAATCAAAGTATAGGACTGCCGCCAGAAGAAGGTAAGAACCTTCTACTGAAACTCTAGCAACACACACCTCAGTTCATTGCCTGTTACAAAGTAACATGTACTCCATTGGGACTTAAGGGATGTATACGAAATTCTTCTCTTCCAAATTTCTCTCTGAATTTTGAAGTTTAGAATTACTTGCTGCAGTTTCCAAAGTGAAAATAACATACTAAAAATTCACAGGTGTTCCTTTTATAAAAGATAATTTTCTGCAGAGCGTTGTGCATGCACAGTTTGCCACAGCGTTCAGCTCCAAGTTGTGCCTCAAGAAGGTACGCTGCCATTCCGGAAGCAAGCCAAAGTTTACTAGTCAGGCTTGAAATGATGAACAAAAACTATTATTAATACTTATACATTTTCCTTAGACTCATATGCATGAAAAAACTCAGAAGATAGCACCATTTTCATAAGAATGATCACAAAATGTTTAAACAAGAATTATCTCTCAAACTTAAAAAACATAAATTATCAGTGTCTTTGGTTGTGAAGTCCAACTTAAGGATTTGCTTGTTGATGTTGAATCCTGTGTTTACTTGGCTAGGACGTGTCTCGGGGTGTATCCCTTCTTCTGCCAGCCTTGTAAAACTTTAGAACTTGGATTATATCCCAGAAAGTGCCTTCAACCTGATGCTCGCAGCTGTGGAGGTGAGACGGCTTCCTTTTCCCCCCAAAGTATAGGACTGCCGCCAGAAGAAGGGATACACCCCGAAACGCATCCCAGCCAAGTAAACACAGGTTTGAGAGATAATTCTTTAAACATTTTGTGATACTTCTTATGAAAATAGTGTTACCTTCTGAGTTTTTTCAGGCATATGAGTCTAAGGAAAAATTATAAATATTAATAATAGTTTCTGTTCATCATTTCACGGTTGTTGTTTTTATCTTATCTCAGCAACACTTCCCGTGAACTCCTTTTGTTGCTAAACTCATCCAGGCTTGGCTGAGGCCTGGGTGGTAGCAGCAAAAGTCTGGAAAGTGGTGACTTGCTATAGGCTATGGTGCCCCTTGCTTCCTCCCACACCACTGCTAGCTGGGAGCCCAGTGAATCGGCCCCCTCTCTTGAGCATGACAACCTAAACTTCCAAAATGGGGGAGGTAACTCCCTCAGCTCAAGAAAATGGTGCACGGTGGGGAGGATTCCTCATGTCACAGTGCCAAGCCAAATTGGGCTTGCATCAATATTTGAAATGGCATTCTTCATGGCTGCTGTGGGGCTGTGGGAAAAAGATTCAGATCTACATGTGTGTGTAGGGAGGAAAATTGTGCAGTTAGGCTCTAATCCAGAGGTGTCTTGCTCACTTGTTATGAGGGCCGGATCTGACATAAATGTCACTTTGTTCGGCCGGGCCATGTGTGCCATAAAATGTAATGCCAGGTACTGGAGATATAAACTTTATAAAGGACACAGGCAAACCCAGTTAGTGATATTAATTTTTACTCAAAATACAAACATGCTTAAAACATTAATACTCTTACAGTATTTCCTTATAGTATCTCCTGATGCCCACCAATGTTCCCTCTAAGCTGTGAAGTCTTGTGAGCAAAAATTCTACTTTGTGAGCTACTGGCATTAAAGTTGTGAGCAAGCAATTTGGCTACTGCATAAATTAGTTTGCTCTGGAGCCATCCTTCCTGAGCTGAGACAAATATGTATGAGCTGGAGGCTAAAAAACTGTGAGCTAGCTCACTCTAACTCAGCTTAGAGGGAACACTGATGCCCACCCTCCCACTTCCACCGCTCATTACTCATTAGCACTGGGACAGTATACAGGGACATAATGCACAGCCTCTGTCATCTGGCAGTAAAGGTAATCACCAGTTACTTGTGGGCCATATAAGAGCCTTGGATGGGCCGGTTCTGGCCCACGGGTTGTACGTTTGACACCCCTGCTCTAATCCTTCTATGTCAATCCTTGAATACCCAGCACCACATAGGAAATTAGTTCCCAGCAGCTGCCTTCTGACTGAAGAATGAGAGTTGAGTCTGGAAACTCGACCCAACTTGTTTAAAAAAGTGAAATCTGGTTTTTCTTGTGTACTCTTAACTTCTGAATAAACCCCATCGAATCCATCAAGACTTGCTTTGAGTACATCTATGCAGGATAAGGCCACATTTTCTGTCTTCCATGCTGAAGAGTGATCCTGTAGCACATACTAACTGTTCAGTGTAGGAAGTCCTGCAGTCTCTTTGTACACACAAAAAGCACGTGATGCTCAAGTGTTCAGATAAAGACGTGTGATGTTTTTGGTCTGTCACATATAGGGTGTGTTTTGTTACAGGGTTGTGGAAAGCAAGGATCCTGCATATCCTGTAGGGACCTTTGTTGTGGCTGCTGCAGGCTGGATAACTCGCTTTGTTTCCCGCGGCAAAGATTTACAGCGAATGACCCCTGACTGGCCAAAGGAGCTTCCCAGATCTCTGGCTCTTGGAACAATTGGCATGCCTGGGTGAGCATGGCTTTTGTATAATTAAGTGGCTGCTGCTGGGTGTGTGGTTGGTGGTTTGGGGGATTCTACCGCACCACACCTGAGCATAATCTTGCTGAACTTTGGGATACCAAAGGGATACTGGTTCCAGCATATTGTGGGGTTCACAGGCAAAGCACCCTTACTTTGGGGATAAAGGAAGACTTTTCTCACTATCTCTGATTTTGGGGGGGACTTTGAGCATAGAATGGCAGCACAGTTGAGGCAATGAACCCTTTGGTAGACCTAGCAATTGCCCATCTTGCTTTCCAGAGCCAGGTCTGCTTATGTAATGTGTATTTGTCTGCTCCTCGGAGAGTGCACAATGCTTTGTAGCCTCCAGGCTCACCTGTTACAGTAAACGGAAACATCTTCGGACAGCGCTGGCTCTTCGGCTTTGAAACGGTGATGAGCACCGCAACCCTAGAGTCGGACTCGACTGGCTTTCGAGCAAGGGAACCTTTACCTTTATAAAAGGTTGTGCAGATCATGTCATTCCCCAGAACAGTGGGAGCAACATCTCATAGACTTTGTGTCATTGCAGTTAAGGTGCAGTATTGATTTAGGAGCCCCTTGCCTGATTTTGAGGAATTTATTTTCTCCAGGGGAAAAAGAAATCCTTTCTCTTTAAATTAGTGCGGTTAGGCTTAAGGCTAAGACCAGTAAAGCTGCTTCACTGAAGGAAGGAATCAAGGAGAGGAAAATAGTCTTTCAAGTCTGAATAAATCCATATTGGCAATGGTGGGCTGTTGGCATAGGGAAAGGGTGCTCTCCCCTTCTTCTTTTAAAGAACTATATAGCTGCTCTTGAAGCCCATTAGGCAAATGGCCATCATTTAAAAATTCGGAAAAGCTCTCTACCTATCTGTATAAAAATGAGATCTCAACCTTGTCATGCTTTAGTGTGACCAAGCAAAATAAACCAGAATGCAACTAGGCACAGCCTATATGATTTTTTCAGTACTGTTTGCTCCTTTCTCAGGTTCCACATTAGTACATCTATGCAGGATAAGGCCACATTTTCTGTCTTCCATGCTGAAGAGTGATCCTGTAGCACATACTAACTGTTCAGTGTAGGAAGTCCTGCAGTCTCTTTGTACACACAAAAAGCACGTGATGCTCAAGTGTTCAGATAAAGACGTGTGATGTTTTTGGTCTGTCACATATAGGGTGTGTTTTGTTACAGGGTTGTGGAAAGCAAGGATCCTGCATATCCTGTAGGGACCTTTGTTGTGGCTGCTGCAGGCTGGATAACTCGCTTTGTTTCCCGCGGCAAAGATTTACAGCGAATGACCCCTGACTGGCCAAAGGAGCTTCCCAGATCTCTTGCTCTTGGAACAATTGGCATGCCTGGGTGAGCATGGCTTTTGTATAATTAAGTGGCTGCTGCTGGGTGTGTGGATGGTGGTTTGGGGGATTCTACCGCACCACACCTGAGCATAATCTTGCTGAACTTTGGGATACCAAAGGGATACTGGTTCCAGCATATTGTGGGGTTCACAGGCAAAGCACCCTTACTTTGGGGATAAAGGAAGACTTTTCTCACTATCTCTGATTTTTTTGGGGGGGGACTTTGAGCATAGAATTTCTTGCTCTCCATTGACATTTCCTCAGTCAAATGATCCCAGAACACATGGAGCCCAAGAAAGGGGCAAACAGGTCACCCTGTGGCCATTTCCATTAGGGAAAGCAGAGTGGGAGGGAAGGCAGAAGCCCCCCACCCCAGCGCTCTGACCTATTCTGAACAACAGAGAGGTTTGTAAAGGAAGTCCCCTGAGGGTGTGTGTGGCTGCAACTCTGATGTATGTTCACGTCACAGCTACTGAATAACCAAGCCTTTTGCTTCCATCCCACTAGTGTTCGAGTGTGCTCCTTTCCTATACAAAGAGTTATGCACTTCGTATAGTGCATCATGATCATAATATAAGTAGCATGCTCAGTAAAGCTGCTTTCCGCTTCTGACACTGGGCGGCCGTGCTACCCCGCCTTTTACCCGGTTCCTGCGGGAGTTTCGAGTCGTGATGTTGTCAGAGTTCATAATCACTTACATTATGATCATGAGTATTTTGTAATGCTGGCCTTCCATCTGAGGGGGCATTGTGGGAAACTTCTTGTCTGGTTTGGATTGTGTTCCAAGCCTGAAAATGACTCTACCCAACCTCTTACCTGGCTGCTACTGCGGCAGAAGTGAGGATAGCCTCTTCCCCTCGTCCCTCCACCACTTTCAGCACTGCTCGGACAGCACCCCTGGCACCGAGGATTGTGAGAAATGTCATTTTCCTTTGGTGTACCTGAGAACCTTATAGTGAACACCAGGCCTCCTGGGAACAACTTTCCCCAGATTTCCTTGTGGCTGGTACACTGCTGGAGCAGCTGTCTAAGACGCCTGGGGGGTGGGAGGAGGAATCTCTCATCCTGTAGCCACAGACGCATCAGCTGGGGGTGGGGTGGGGCAGAGCTTACAGAGGGTTTCTGGAACTCAGAATTAGTCTGAAACATTTTCTAATTGAGGGGGGTAACTTCCCAAATTTGCTGGAGAAGATCCGTCCATCACTGGCAGTAAGGCCAAAGAGAGATTTAAGGAAGAACACTGTTGTCCTGAGGTCCTTGGAAGAAGGGGGAGATAAAAAATGGACAGACAGGTAATCTTTCTGACTCAGAAACTGTTGTTTCAGTCCTGGATCATTCCTACTGTTTTGTAGCATGATTTACTCTGGAGCAGTCAGAGCCTGAGGAACAGGCACTTTTCAAGTGCCGGACAGAAGAGGGGCTTTCAGCAGCTTGTAAAGCAAAAGGAAGTAAAGCTGCACCAACTCAAAGTCCCTCTTCTGTGCAGTCCTTGAAAGGTACCAATACCCTGTCCTTCTGTGCCACCATGGCTGATCTCTCATTCCTTCCTTCCCTGGGCCATTTTGATTCCATCATTTGGGCATCGACGCCAAGCACCACTTTGTGTCAGGATTTCTTTGAACGTGCCTTTTTTTGTTCCCCTTTTCTACAGGCTTACTGCATATTTTGGCCTTTTTGAGGTTTGCAAGATTAAAGCGGGAGACACCGTACTGATCAACTCTGCAGCTGGCGCAGTGGGCAGCGTGGCTGGTCAGATTGCTAAACTGGCTGTAAGTGATTATGGCAGCACATCTCAGTATAACATAGAGACCTGTAAGGAAGAACAGGGTTGCAATAATAATTAATTATCTTATGGCTGCACTGTGTGTACAATTCATTCATAAACTTTATTGCGTTGGCTCAAAGCTTTAGCAAATAACACTGAAATGCCAAAAACAACATCAAAACCCTAATACAGCAATCATGGTAACAATCAAACTCTAATATCCATTACAGATCTATAAACGGTTTTAAAATCATGACGACAATGACAATTTAAGTTAAAAACATCAAGAATGCAAGAATTCGATCAGTCAGACAACACAATACAAGGATTTATTCATTGGCCACATTAACAGTAGTTGTTTTTGACAAGGTCTTTATCACCTGTGCAACAAACTTTGCCATTTGCGTTACCCATTTACTTTTGTTGGCAAGCGATATAATTAGTCTGTCATTGTCTGCTCTCCCTGGATATTGTAATAAAATATTCCTCAGATATCTTTTGTGTTCTAGTGCAAATTATGGATAATAGAGGGCCATGTGGCCTAGATCCTCAATAGATTTCTGGTCGCAAGTGCAGATACGTTCTGGGTATAGAATAGCTAGGAGATCATAAGACTGACTGGCTGGCAGAAGTTCCAGCTCTTTTAGCATTATGCACCACTAGGTGGTGAGCTAGACTTGTTTTTAAGGCAAGAGATGTTTCAGAGGTGGTTTGCCATTGCCTGCCTCTGCATCACGATGACCCTGGTATTCCTTGGAGTTCGCCCTTCCAAATACTAGCCAAGGCTGACCCTGCTTAGCTTCTGAGATTTAACAAAACTGAGGGTTACAGCTAGTGCAGAGAACCAAAGATATAGAAGCTGTAATGATGTACAAAACGCTTATGATCTCACAATAATGATACAAAAATAAACAGTCAAATTGAAAAATATTAATTCCCAACAGGTATCAAAAAGATGGATGAACTTCTCCGGAGCTTTGGCATTCGTTCCGTGAAGAACTTCTTCCAAACATCAAGATATGCTAGTGTTGCATCTTATTCCATAATGTGTAAATCTAATACAAAGGTACTAATAGCCTATATGTTGCTAGTACACTTCATGTGCCCGTTGTAAGAACATGTTCAACATATAGGCTATTAGTACCTTTGTATTGGATTTACACATTATGGAATAAGAAGCAACACTAGCACATCTTGATATTTGGAAGAAGTTCTTCACGAAACGAATGCCAAAGCTCCGGAGAAGTTCGCCTATCTTTTTGATACCTGTTGGGAATTAATATTTTTCAATTTGACTGTTTATTTTTGTATCATTATTGTGAGATTATAAGCGTTTTGTACATCATTACAGCTTCTATATTTTTAGCTTCTGAGATTTGACAGGATCGGGCTAGCCTGGGCTATCCAGGTCAGGTTGCATACATAACACCTTGAACACATGAAGCTGCCACATACTGAATCAGACCTTTGGGTTATCGGAGTCAGTACTACATGCTCAGCTTGGCAGTAGCTTTCCAAGGACTCAGGTCAAGGTGTTTCACATCACCTCCTACCTGGAGGTTGGAGATGCTGTGGATTGAACCTGGGGCTTCTACATGCCAAGCAAATGCACTACCACTGAGCCATGGCCCCTCCCTTCATCAGAGGATGTCCTGAATAGTGGTGTGTGTGGCTGCACCCTCTGGCCATTGACTGCTCATGGGACTGCCATTATAGCTTGTGCTTTATAAGGAGTCTCCTGCTGCAGAAGACAGGTGCTGTGGAATGACAGGGGACTCCACACTGGTTTCATCTAATGAGGATCTATTCTTGACAGGTTTGCAATTCCCCCCCCCAGCTCAATGCACACTTTCAGTTGAAGATGCAAGGGATGTGAATTTTCTTGTAGCAAAGGGAGTTGTGGTTCAGTGGTAGAGCATCTGCTTTGTATGCAGATCCCATGTCAAATCCCCAGCATCTCCAGTTAAAAAATTCAGGTAGTGGGTGATGTAAAAGATCTCCACTTGAGCCCCTGGAGAGCCGCTGCCAGTTAAAGTAGCTAATACTACTTTGATAGGCCAATGGTCTGTCTCCTGTTTTAGTTGGGGGGATTAGCAAAGGAGACAAAGGCTTGGGAGAGGGGAGTAAACTAGCAAGATGGACTACAAGTGTTTACGGGAATCTTTCCCTTTAGAGAACTCTCAGAATAACCAGTCCAAGGTAAAATAGAGATGGATTTTATTTGATAGAAAATAAGGAGGCTAAAATACAAAACGCATGCGAGAAGCAACACACATACAAGACAAATTAAGAAATAAAGGGATTAGTGGGAAATATAGGGGGGGCATTGGGGTGATAGCTACCTGTTCAGAAGGGGCAAGGTGCAGGAGAAGAGCAAGATGTCCAGCATCTTGAGTGTGCAGTTTAGATCCAGGAAAACACACGCACAGCATTGGTGCCGAGGCTGTGGGACCTGAGGGCATGCTAAAGTGTCTGCCCCTTGGAACAAAGCATTTTACAAAGAGTTTAACTACAAGTACAACTGTGTGTTGAGGAAATTATGAATGGGCGTCCCAGGATTTGACAAAGGGAACAGGAGATGTCCTGTTTAAGTGGAAACTCTAATCACTTTCTCCAGTGATTTGGAGTGTTAATGGCAACCTAATTAAACTAATCAAAAAGCAAAAATACTGCTTGACGACCCTCCTCCTGTGTTAGGTGGGAAAGCGGTAGGTGTTAGGAGTAGCTTTTGTGAAGTAAATGTGGGAATGGGGAACGGTGAGGCAGGGTTGATAGAACGAATGATCCAGGTGGATAGTGTTAGCTCTGGGGCGAGGCAGGTCTGTTGCTCCAGCTGATGCATACGTTAGAGTGAAGGGAGGAGTGGCAACGTGGTTAGACAAGGAAGGATCTTACGCCTTCCCAGGGTCTTTGCCTAGACATGTATGTGAGGCTTGCCATCCTGCCATCCATCTCGTGTACATTCAATGTAAGCTGCCTGGCATTTGTACTCCTGAGGTGCTACAACTGAAGGGTCCCTCGTTTCCAAACAACCCCACAGCAACAAAGTACGGTCTGCCCGCTTACAGATCCATTGCTGGCTCTGCCATCGGCCTTGCCGCTTTCCCATGCTTCACTTAGGCTGCCTCCAGTTCTTCCAGTCACAGTTTCTGCATTTCAGTTAACAATTTTTAAAATAGTAAAACCGCTTTAAGGAGGAAGGAGGCAGTTAGTGATATCCCCAGTAACGAGGTATGGCCTGTCTGCTTACAGAACAAGCACAAGCTATGGCAAAGCTACGCTGGCAGTCCTGTCTTGTTAGGAACATTACGCTTGTAATTTGTAAAAAAAACCTTTTCTGCTGCAGCTGCTAGATGCAGATTTAATCTTTTTCTGTTTTAATCTTTCAGGGTTGCGAAGTGGTGGGCTGTGCAGGTTCGGATGCAAAAGTGGCCTTTCTCAAAAATCTTGGCTTTGATGCTGCCTTTAATTACAAGACAGTCGGATCTCTGGCGGAGGCTCTGAAGAAAGCATCTCCCAATGGTTACGACTGCTTCTTTGATAACGTAGGTTGCAGCCAAGCGCAGCTCTGTATAGGCCTTGGGATACAGGATATTTGGCCAGCTTTGTAAACTTTTTTCAGGACAGCAGCCTGTCGGGGGGCCAGATTGGACAAACATAATTGATCCGTCCTGATCTGGAAATGGTGAACTGTGTGCAGGTGTAGCCCTGATTCGGACTGGAGCAGGGATGAGAGGATGGATTTAACCCGTCAGCCCCTGCTCGGTTTCACTAATTGAAAAGGAGCTGCCCAAGGCAATGTTGAAAATAAAACAAGACATGTCCATTAAAAGCCTGCCTTTTTATTCCTAGTAAAAGTGCAGGGATCCCAGTTTTAAACAGCGAAACCAAGCTGAGGTTGAAGAGTTAAATACCTTCCCGCACAGAATGAATAGCTGTTTCCAAACAGTCACTGCTGGCCCAGTTTGCCTTTTATAGGTAGACAGAAATCTGTGGTCTTTCTCATGTGTGTTTGTGCCTTTTCTTGTTTAGTCATCCTTGCCATGCTTGAGCAAATACTTTGCTGTGGAGAAGAGAATGTCTGCTTGTCTATCTGTTTCTCTATTTATCTATAACATCTTTCCTCCGAGGAGTTCAGGGGAGCAAACACAATTCTCCCCCATTTCTTCCTCACAACAGCCCTGTGAGGTGTTTTCAGTTGAGAGAGGCTGACTGGCCCAAGGTCACTCAGCAAGCTTTCAATGCACAGTAAAGATTTGGACCAGGTCTCCCATATCCTAGGCCAACACTCTAGCCTTTACCGCCCCCCCCCTCTGTCTATCTGTCTCTTATGTCTTTGGGAAAGCAGTACAGTTGCCAGAGTGGTAGTGATGGGGACATGGGGGGTGGGATGTCACCTCTCTAGAAATTGCCAGAAACTCTATGGTTTTACCAGAGCGTTTCCAGCTATTCTAAGAGACGTGTGATGTCACTTCCAGGAAAACCTGGAAGTGAAATCACACGTCTCTTAGAATAGCTGGAAACGCTCTGGTAAAACCATAGAGTTTCTGGCAATTTCTAGAGAGGTGTGATCCCACCCCCCATGTCCCCATCACCAGCACATCATGATCCTGACAGACATTTGTAAAAGTTTTTCTTCTGCCGTAACTCAGGGTGGCAGCAGGAAACAGAGACTGGGGAATGGGGATCCCCTGTGTCCATCAGGGGGCTGGTGACCCTGGAAAGCAGCAGTGTGAAGTTGTCTCAGTGTGCCACATTGAAAGCTAAGCAAGTATATCCATTTCCATGCCTATAGATGTACCAAAGGTTGAATGCTAGGAATCATTTCTCTGGGCCTAGTGCAGACTTGAAATAAGAGTCTCATCCCATACAGGCAATCGCATGAGTTGTGAAAGAAAAATAAAATTTTTTGAAATGAAATAAATAGGCCCTATAGTGGTAATGGGCTTGCAGCCCAATTGGAGTGTGTCCATGCACCAGTTTCTTTCTAATTCTGGTTTGTTTGTTTGATTTTCTGTTAAGGTGGCCCTTTGACCTCAGAAGTGTTGTGAAAGTGTGTATCATCGATCTTCTTTGTGTATTTTTTTTAAGCCACTTGGCAGATAAAGAGGCTTGGGATCCAATCTACACTTTTTCCCGCTCAGAGAGGACATTCCCACTGCAGACTCCCACTTTGCCCTCCTTCTTCTGCATAGCCGGATCATAGTTCTCTTGTGAAAGAAGTGGCAAAGCATTGCCCACTGAAAGCTGATGCAAAGTTATGTTCTGGTTCCTCTGCCAAAACACTTGAACCTCTTTCCAAAGAGGTTGGCTACGGAGAAATGCTTTAAAGGGCTTTCCCAGAAGTGGACAGATGTTAGCACAGCTGGAGCAAGTAAAAATGAAGCAAAACATTTCTGTTTTGTTTTCAGTATAAGGGTTATAAAACCATAAAAGTTGGCCCGTGGTAGTTCAAGGCCTCGAGGTCACCCTGATAGCTTTCTAGATTACTGTAAACCAACGACTATAGCTGTTTGAAAGCATGATTTAAGGAAGAACAAGTGGGGACCCAAAGACTGGTATGGAAGGGAAATCCCTGGCTTCCAGGTCCTCCCCCTCGCCGCTGCCACTTTCTCTCCCTTCTTGCTCCTCCTGCACGGCCATTTTCTCACTCTTCTCAACCTCCATTGTTGCTTTCTCCCCTTTTTCCTGACCCTTCTCTATCGCTGCTTCCTCTGCACTACAGTTTGGTCTACTGGTTAGGAGTGGGGACTCTAATCTGGGAGGACCAGGTTTGATTCCCCACTCCTCCACATGCAGCTGCTGGATGACTGTGGGCAAGGCATAGTTCTCTCGGAGCTGTTCTCGCAAGGGCAGTCCTCTCAGAGCTCTCTCGGCCCCACCTACCTCACAGGGTGTCTGTTGTGGGGAGGGGAAGGGAAAGGAGATTGTAAGCCACTCTGAGACTCCTTCGGGTAGTGAAGGGTGGGGTATAAATCCAATCTCTTCTTCTTTCTTCAAGCCATAGTGCCAGGTTTGCAAACATCATGAGGTTTTCCAATAGTTCAATTGCCATTTTCTGTTTGGGGTGTGTGTGTGTCTTAACCCTTTCCTCTTAACCCTCCATTTTTAAAATGTTTTGGACTAAACCACAAGTATCTCTCCTGTGTGTATCTGGCACCACTGTGTGGGTTTTGAGATCCACAATCTGGGGCCCAGGTTCAGAATTCAGCAGAAGATGTTCTGTCTAGGCCAGCAAATGTGGGGTGGTGGAAGAAGCCAGTCTGGTTGGAAGTAGGACGAAGGAACAAGGTGCAAGGTTGAGTTTTATTAGATCTTCTAGATCTCTACGCGTTTTGCTAATTGCTGCACCAGGGGTTCTTGTATAAAAACGTCTCAGCTCCCGTCTTGAACAGTTGGGAGTAGAAAAGCCAGGTTCCAATAATAGTTCTTTCTCTTTCGGTGTTCTCGCATAACATAAGGACATAAGAGACGCCAATGTTGGATCAGGCCAAAGGCCCATCCAGTCCAACACTCTGTCACACAGTGGCCAAAAATACCAGGTGCCATCAGGAGGTCCACCAGTGGGGCCAGGACATTAGAAGCCCTCCCACTGTTGGCCCCTGGTGTTCGGCTCTCTGTTTATTTTTTCTCCTTAATCGCTGTGTCATAGGTGGGAGGCGAGTTTAGCAGCGTTGTCCTGGAGCAAATGAAGAAATACGGGAGGATTGCAGTATGTGGTGCTATCTCGTTGTACAATGACCAAGAGATCCAAAAAGGTAGAAACCTTTTTTCCTTTTGGAGGGAGGGGTCTGTTGGAGGTGGGGGGAAGTGCCGTCCAGTCACAGCTGTCTTATGGTGACCCTGCAGGGTTTTCAAGGCAAAAGATGAACACAGGTGGTTTGCCATCACCTGCCTCCACAACACAACACTGGTATCCCTTGGCGCTCTCCCACCCAAATACTGGCCAGGTCCAACCCTGCTTAGTTTTTGAGATCCGATGAGATCAGGCTAACCTGGGCTATCCAGGGCAGGGGTCTGTTAATTAACTGCATTTTAAAAGGGTGATAAGGTAACAGCGTTCCATGCCCCTTGGCGGCTAGTCATGCCGGCCACATGACCATGGAAACGTCTTCGGACAGTGTTGGCTCTTCGGCTTTGAAACGGAGATGAGCACCGCAACCCTAGAGTCGGATTCGACTAGCTTTCGAGCAAGGGAACCTTTACCTTTAATACTGAACAGAAAATGAATCACAACACTGCTTAAACATATCTCACATTCAGCTGAAATAAATCCCAGGCCTTTGAAAATTAAATAAATAAATATATATATATATGTAAGTCATAGGATTTGAAACTGGGCGGTTTAAATCTCCGGCACAAATGCAATAATATCAAATGTAAGGTATTTTAAATTGTTCAGAATGCTTAAAAACTTGGGAATTAGATTCTGCTGGAATGGAAATTAAAGTTATGGCATTGGATCCATTAGCCAGAGTATCTGTTCTGCATCGTCTCAGAGGATGGAAGTTGCACATTTCAAAGCATACAGACTTTGGGGGGCAGCAGTTCCCTGTTCTATTAAACATGTAGTTCTGCCCTCGTTGGGTTGGATCCAGTGACTCCCTTCTGTTAAAAGGGACTTAGCAGAGGGGGATCAGTGAAACCAACCTACAGAGTTCTTGAAGTGACAGGAACTTGCATCACTCTAGTCATGGTTGTGAGAAACAATTTCCTTTCTCATCCAAATTAAAGATGTGTCTCTCAAGTCTCATGCAGTGGCTGATGAGCATCCACATCAGCTGTATGCACGGAGGTTTGCTTCCTTTTATGGATCTCTCTTGCTGGGTCGGGGTAGGCACCACTGGGTGAGCATCTGGACACACTTTCTTTGCAAGTGCACATAAGATAGCACAATCCTTGGCTGCATCCACACTGATGGGGTTTTTTTTCAGTTCCTTCCATTGCCTCAAGTGAATGCAGAGGCATTTGCAGGGGTAACAGGGCAGTCACACAGCAGTTTTTCTCTGCGTTTTCTTACCTCATCCCAAAGGATTATACCAAATCTGGTTTAGGAAAGACCACAGCAAAGTGGGAGGTGGGGGACATGGAAAGTGGTTAATTAGGGGACAGTGTTGTGTGGATGCTTGTTCTGTCCGCTGACCGCTACCAGGGGCCAGCGAATACCCCAGAGCTTGACTCTGAAAGAACAATGGGGACTAGGCTCCTAGTCCCTCCACTGGGGGAACCAATGGGACCGTGGCGGGAAATTTAAACCCACCAACGGGACCTAGGGGGGCGTCCTCGGGTGTGTATATAGTTGGCCAGCCGGCCGTTAGTTTTTGTCTTTGTTGTGTACCAGTAAACCATGCTGATCACTACATTGGTCTCAGTGGTTTCTTCATGCATTTAACCCACTACACTTCAATGCTAAAAAAAACCACACCACCCCCAGCACGTGCGTGCACACACGCACACACCCACACCCACAGCCTGCTCCAGTTTAGGGACACAACCAAAGCAAAACCTCATTGTGGAAGCATGCTTTTCTGTCCTTCAGAAAGATTCCTAGAACAAGTTTCTTGGTCTGGATAGAAAGATCTGGCTTACACATCCATTTCTGCAGTAGGTACTCCATCATGATAGTTTGTGGGTTTTGTATAGTTAAGGCACAAGGTAGACTGAGATCGTCATACTCTTTGGGTGTTGTTTTTTCCTAAGTTGACAAAGAAACTTCCTCTTTGACTGACTGGAGGAAAACACTTTTATAATCTTGTTGCACTTCATCCTTAGATGGCACATCTACTTGGACATGGTGACGGTTTTAAGCTTTTTAGTACCACGACATTCTGGAGAAATCCCTGCAGAACATAGAGAAGATGTGCTTGTGAGTGCTGAGAAAACAGCCATCCTTGGATCTTATGGGCCGGGTGGCCTCCATTATGGCTCCTTTGTGCCATATACACAGACGGGAAACCTGGTCTGGTTTAGACAGTGCTGCAAATCAGGGCCAGACTAGGGCCCATTCTGCATCTAGCATTCGCTCCGCTGTTCTACCAAACCCACGCTGGAACAGAAATTCCCCTCTACACTGCATGCCACTTTCACTTTGATTGTTGGATTTTGTGGCAGTGTCCAGACTGCATGCCGGCTTTCACTTCCTTTGCTCTCTCGGTTTTATGGTATTATCTGCATAGATTTATGGCTGTTTTATGGCCATTCAGTGGTAACTTTGCAGTCAGTACGGGGCGTTAGTTGGGGGTATTTGAATGTGGGTTTTGAGCCGCATCTTTTCCTGTTCCAGTGCGGATTTGGTAAAACAACGGAGCGAATGCTAGATGCAAAATGGGCCTAGGCATTATGTGTTTTTTTAACGTTGGGTCAGGATTTCCCCAACCCAACTCCCATTCCTCATGATTAGACAGCAGCTGCTGAAAACTAATTTCCCAAACACCACAGTGGCCCAATTCAGATCAGGGCCACAGCGCAGAGGGAGAATGGGCTTCGGCCTCCTCTCTGTACTGTTTTCCCAACCCCAAGTGGTCCGTGTGTTTGTGTGTGTGTGTGTGTTATTTGCCCTGATTTGCACACACCCTTCCCAGCAGCTGCTGTCAGACCGAGGAGAATGAGCGCCAGATCAGGAAAACCCTGACCCCAACTTGTTAAAAAAAAAAAATGGTGACATCTAGTTTGACCCTCACATGCCCACCTATCAGGCTAGCTAAAAAAAAAAAACTGAAGCAAATCAGGTCTCTGGATGTGTTTCAAGTGTGGGTGATGGATTTATCTGTCCCGCCCTTCCTCCAAAGAGCTTCAAGGTGAATTAGCAGGCTTGTCTCCCCCAGTGCTGCTATCACAACAGCCCATGTGGTAGACGGGGCTGAATGAGAATGACAGGCCCAAGGTTATCTACAACAGTGGTCCAGCATATGGGTTGGGACCCTCAAGCAGGTCATGGAGACCTGTGTGTAGGATCACAAGCCCCTGAAGAGCTACTGCATATTTGCTGCTTTATGACAGGATCTGCTGCTAGCATACATACACAGAGAACACAGGTAAGACGGAGCTCTTCCGCCAGGCTTTTGAATAGGAGCCACCACCACCACGGTCCCTCAGAAATGGAGACGCTTCCCCTTGAGCTCAAGTAGGTTCTTCAGAATATGGGTATTCTTCCTGTCACGTGACTGTGATACCATATGACTTCCGACCACATCATTATGGCTGAAGGGTCCTACGCTGATAACCGTAGTTAAAGTTGGGTCTTGGGTCGGGAAAGGTTGAAAACCCCTGGTCTAGTACCTTCATGGCTCAACAGGGATTTGAACCCAGGTTTTTCCAGCCTGTAGCCATTATATCCACTCCCGGCAGAAATCACTGACACGAAAGTGAGCGGAGGCATCACCTCTTAGCAATATACAGGAATACTGAGAGAAACAAGGAGCATTTGCAGGGTTGCAAAATCCGCTATCATGTATTTATTTTTTTCCTTCAATTTATATCCCCCCCACCCACAATGCAGGCTCAGGGCAAGTTCCACCCTATAATAATCTGCTGAGTGTAGATCTACATCATAAAAACAGAAAAACAAACATACAATACATACAATAAAAGAAGTAAAACACTAAATACTTTAAACCTGATGGGAGCAATTTGGTAGTATGTAGCAATCCCACCTCCTCTTTTCTCTCCCCCCCCCCAAATTTTGCTTCTGCCCTCTCCTCACCTGCCTGCGAGACAGCGATGCAGTCCAGAGTAGGGTAAGAAAGGAATGTTTGACACTACCTGAGATACTGTAGCCGATTTTTGGTTTTTGCTTTTAATTTTGTTTGTAAGGCCTAGAGCCTTACATTGTAGGGAAGGGGCGATTCAGATATTGACTATATACATAAATGAACTTGATGCAATTCATTTAACAAATGGAGCAGAGCAGTTGCATACCACCAGAGGGCAGTAGAGAATTAGCAGACACTTGTTTTCCTTCCTTGCTAACCAACAGTTTGAATAGTTTTCAGTGTTGCGTAACCCTGAACCAAAGAAGTTTCTCTATCTGGTGACCTTCGTTCTGTTAAACTGCAGCCATCTCAGAGCTGCCACTCCCAAATTCTCCAGAGTCATGGAGCTGTTGGAAAAAACTGGCTCGTTACCTTTCTCTACTGTGTCTAATAGGTACAATCAGACGACTTTGAGAAGGTGAAGTGAAACTGTAAGCATTTGTATTAGTTTTACTTTAACCTCTCCTTTTGAGGCAGTGTGACCGTAATAGGCTAGTTCAGGGGTGGCCAAACGGCAGCTCGGGAGCCACTTGCAGCCCTTTGACACAGTCCAATTTAATGTTAATAAAAAGCAAATTTGCATATTTTTCAATAAAAATGTGCATGTGATATTTGTTCATGTCTCGCAGCTCCGTTTTCCATTTTCTCCAGATCTCTGTAGTCTGAAGATGAGCTGTAATTCTGGGGGATCCCCAGGTCCCGGCCTCAAAGCTGGCATCCCTCATCCCCAGTCGCTAGGGTTGCCAAGTGGGGGGCTCCCGGCTGGCGTCTTGTGCGTGCATGCACGTCAACCGGAAGTGACGGGAGGACGCCAGGCAGGCTGGGGGCGGGGCCACGGCCATACAAGGGAAAACCATAGAGTTTTCCCTTGTATAGCCGTGGCTTTTATGCTCGGACATGCGCAGTTCGGCCGGCTAGGCGTCGTAACTGGGTTTTCTCCCCGGCCTTTGATCGCGCCGGGGAGAAAAGGCGGCGCGGCCGGGGGATCCCGCCGCGCCGTGTCAACGTTGGTGCGGCTTTTAAAAGCCGCGCCTTAAAGAGGCTTTTCCCCTGCCATGTGGCAGGGGCCATAAGGTCTCAATGGGGAGGCTCACAATAACTCTTGTATTCAGTTGGCATCACATAGAATACATTACAACATGGGTTGAGTCAGTCCTACCCGTTGCATGTTCCACAACGTTTTTAATGAGGCCCTTGAATCCCATCCTGGGATAGTATGAGGAAGCAATCTGAATGAAGACAGGGAGATTGGGGAGTATACTACAGCACTATAGTCCCCATCAAACAGCTGCTGTTTATTCATGGACAGGAAGATCTAGGAAAACGGTTGCCAGGCCTTTACTCAAAGATGGTACTTGTTCCCTTAAAGATGACAGGGCCTGAGGCCTGGTTGATGCATACCAGAGGGTGAAGTGGAAATGAGGCAGTAGCTATTATCTTGGACTACGGGCAGATCACATTTTGGGATACTCCTTTTAAGAAAAGTTTTTTTTAAGGCTTACAGGTTTACCCTTTAAAAATGGGTAAAAAGAGTAGATCTTTTCTCAGATCTTTTCTCCCTGAGGTGATAATCTGCTACTTGGAGGTTTTTAGGCAACGGAATGTTCAAATCTGGATTTTCCGCTTGCCAGTCTGAAGTGCTAGTTAGGAAAATGGTGTGGGCAGGAAGGCTGAAGATCCTTCTTCCCACAAGCCATAGTCCAGGGCAAATTGGATATCAGGCATGTAGGAGTTGAGGGGAACCTGCAACTCACATCTGACCAAAACAGTGCAGAATCCAGATACAGCCTGTTCAGACTATAACATGAATGGGCTTCAGTGTTGTGCCACCTCATTTCTACCTTCCAGAGGTCATTTGGGGGGGGAACGCTGTTCCCCCGGGTGAGGTGCAGGGGGCGAGGCACATGACGAAGCCCCGCCCCCTGCTTCCGGCCGCCCCGCTTCCAGCCCTCATTCAGCCAGGAGGAGGCAGGAGAAGAGGG